CCTGCTGCTGGCCTCACTCTGTGCCATCTCATCTTGGAGTAAGTAGAAACTACTCAACTTAACCTTAAATATCACATCTGTGTCTGGTTAGAGTTTGTGCTAATTATTATATTACCAATTATTGGTTGTGTCAGGATGTTGTAATGTTTTAGGTCTCCTTTGTTCAAAAAGGGAACACATGAACGTTCGTAGAGAGCTTGGATGTACAGTATCTTGTTCATCATAATTCAAGTGCATGCTAACATTAGCATTTAGAATATCTGGATCTGGATCAGTAGTTTTCAACAGTTTGAATGTTTTGAACTGATCAGTATGATTTTTGCACAGTGCATTTCAGAGCATTTGTTTAATTGAAAAAGAAACATAACAAAAAACGGACCAATATTTCTGTATTACTCTGTTTCTTTCATAGATCACTATGAAGCATTTTATGTCTATGTAGCACGTATCCTCTGATTTTGTTGTAAAATGCCAAAAACCTGATGTGTTTAGCTAATGATGCAGTGTACGCAGTCTCAATATGGACCTCAAAATCATTTGTTTCTCTGTCTCTTTAGCTGCTTCATCTACAGGCGTGTTAGTTGTGACCCAGACTCCTGATGTTTCTGTCCTGGAGGGAGAGACTGTAAACATCACCTGCTGCTGGAAAGGGACGTTTGAAAGAATGACATTTAACTGGGGGAGAAATCAAACAATTATTAAGACTGACCAATACAACTCAACACCACAGTCTGAAGAATCAAATTCCTGTTCAACTTTGACCTTTTCTAACATCACAACAAAGTATTCAGGGAAATACACCTGCAAACTGAGTGTGGAGATACCAGTTTATGTTCAGGGTGAAGGAAAGGGCACAGTCATCACAGTTAAGACCAGAGAGAACAGAGGAGATGACACAGATGATGGTAGGTGACAAAACACCAAGGCTTTAAAGGTTTGACTAATATCCTTGTTTGTCAGTGGATAAAGTGAATAATGACATGTATTCAAAACTGGAACCTGGTCTGTTTAGAAAATATAGGCTTTATGTCACTTTGTAAAGTTTAGATCAGTCAAATCTTGCTTGTTTTAAATATACTGTAAAAGCCACTAATATAAGATTAAAAGAGACAGAGACAAGCCAAAACACAAACTGCTGTCATATGGTCCAGAGCCATCACACACATAATTTATCTCTGTCTTTTTACAGGTGCTCCATCAGGTACATCAGGTAAATATGTGTACATTTTCATTTGTTGTGACCCAGTCTCCCGGTGTCTCGGTGACGGAGGGGGATATAAAGTAAACATCTGCTGCTGGACAGGGGTGTTTGAAAGTGTGATATTTCACAGGTTGAAAAATCTAACATAAATTCAAAATGACTTTATCAGCTTTAAGACCCAGGGTCATATATCTTATTCAAACTTGACCGTTTCAACTATCACAAACGAGGATTCAGACAGATACACCTGCAACCTGTGTCTATGCTTTGGCTGAAGTCGATGGTACAGTCATCACAGACGGAGATTACAAATGACAATACAGATGGTGTTGAGTGATTTAAACATCAAACACACAAAGTATTGTAACAGATATTGTTCTAATAAAATCAAAAAACAGATTTAAAAATGAAATATAATGAAATAAAAACCTGATAAAATTGGAAATGACAAAAATAAATAAATAAAAAAGCTGATTCACTAAAAGTTTTTTTTCTTTTTTTTTCATACTTTGGAACAACTAAAAGACTTATGCCAGAGGACCGAGGGGCTGTACTGGTTCATAGATTGACATAGCCACAGAAAGAAACAAAATTAATTATTTATATAATTAAATATTGTTTATGGATTGCAACATATTTGATATAAAATAAACAAACTTTTTAATTCTGGGTAAACCCCCCCCCCCTTTTCCTTCTTCTCTCTTACCCTAAAATGGTTGAGCATCTACTGAAGTGTGAAAGGAAAGCTCAGCGAGCTCAGAAAAATGTGATGACAATGTGTATAGAATGTGGACACAATAATGATAACACATACAAGATTTTTCTCATTTTAAAGCAGAAGTTCATGTGACAGGTGATGGCAAAGAAGGTGTAACTGAGCAGCTGTCCCTGTCAATCAATTTCAGGATCTGTGTTAATCTACTGTCTGAGGTGTCTGCCCTTCCTTGTTCTTCTTGTGACCTTCTTCTATTTCAACAACAGACGGACTAAGCCTCAACAACACAAAGCAGGTACAATACAATATTCACTTACTCACTCAAACTCCATTATATAAAAGGTTGTCAGCTGTGCTAATGGCATAGCTCTGTGGGATCTCTTTGGTTCAGACTGAAATAACTCAACTACTATTGGAAATATTGCCATGAAATTTTGAACAAACATTCATGACCTCAAGAAGATGAATTCTAATGACTTCAGTGATATCCTGACTTTTCCGCTAGTACCACCATAAGGTTTTTGATAAACATAAACTAGATGAAGATAAATTGTAATAACTTTGTTTATCCCATAAGTTTTCATCTAATGCCATCATCAAGTGAAAATTTTAACTTGTCTGATATTTTAATTATGACCAAACATCTATCCAACTCATGACATTCCCATCAGGATCGCCTGCACTTTGTGTTTGTGCTAATTACCAAATGTTAAACTCTTAAGGTCAAGTCGTGGTTTTCCACTTGCTGTCAGATTGCTTCTATTAATAAAATTTGACATACCTGCAAAGCATCCAATAAGTTTTTCAAGTTTTTACCTGCTCCATCAGTGTCTTTATTGACTCTGTTAGTGTCACTAATGTGGCCGGTCCAAGCGGATAAGTCCAGGGCTGAATTTATTTCCCTGTCCGACCATGGACCTGTTGTATACGCAGGGTACACAACTTCATTCAGTTGTACTTCTTGTTGTGTGTTTAGTGGCCATTTACACTGGGCTTCATAACACCTTTCTGACTGATAACGTTAAAGGGGATGAACGTCAAGGGGGTTGGGCAAATAGAGGCCAGGAGGTGTGGCCGACGTAGCATTTGTTTTGGTCTGAGATGCTGGTGGTCTATTGCAACATCTAAGGGCAGGGACCATCATTTACAGATCCTTTAATACGAATAGGGCCAAGGAAGGGAACTAAGCTGTACAGTGTACAACACAGTGCAGGAAAAGAGCTGGTGTATGGCCAGTTGATATGCTCATAATGCGACTCAAATTTTTGACATCCACACAGTGTCCATGTGGACCCCCGCTGACTTGGGCAGGTGATGAAATTTACGTCAGGACCCTTGCAGACATGGGGACGTGGAAACCATGACTTGGCCTTTAGTCTTGTTAAATCATGCATTAACAGCGTACGTACTACATTACCATGGATGGAGCTCATCAGTCAGTTTATTCATGTTTCAGCTGCTCCTGAAAATACATCCGCTGCAGTCCAAAGAGGAGAGAAAGTTCGGAAAGAAGAAGAAAGAGATGAAGACTGGGGAGAAAACCCCCATCTTCAATTATGAAGATCTTGGAAACTCACGTTTTTTCTGACAACTGTAACCCTTTCCTGTTACTGTGTTTTGAAAAATCCTCTATAAATAACGTCAGTTATTTCGACATTATCAACACACTGACTGTTGCTCTGTTTATTTTAAATACAGTACTTAGATTTTTTTTTTTGGGGGGTTGGTGGACACCAAGACACCAAAACATAGCTGAGAGTAGAGTGAATATTGGACTTAAATTAATCAGGTGGCAAGAAAACAACTCCCAATAAATAAGTCTGGATTTTTAAATCTTTTTTTTTATGTTGTGTCTTTAGAATTAAGTGATAACCTGTCATTGTTGTGTTTACAGCTTGTTCTGTTGGCATAAACTGGTCAAACAAAAAAACAAAGAATGGATGCCGCCTGGGTTGCACTTGTTCAATGCTTTGTGACTTTTCAACTTAAAAGCATTGAACAAGTGTGTCACAGCCAGGTTAATTACTTTTTGGAATCCCCTGGAAACATTTCTGTTGCCATCTGTGCTACTCACAGCACATTTCTGTATTTGCTTGTATTGTGAGTTATTTGCAGCGCGTTTCTGTTGTTGCTTGTGTTGTGAGTATGTGCAGCACATGTGTTGTAAAAATGGATGACAGTGTTTTCTGATTATGCTTGTTTTATTTGCATTCGTTTTCTGAAGTTGCAGTGCGTTGAGCTGTCAATGCCTCCTTAGGCATCCACTGGAATAAAATGTTAGGATTCTATCAGACGTCTATCATTGTAACCTGAAGCAAAATGTTGCCTCAGGTGCTCCAGCCACTCGACCACAATACTAATAATCTTCCTCTAAGTCCTACCCACAACCTGTCTCCAAATGCTGGTAACTTTCAAGACGCAACATCTCAATTAAAAGTCAGTTACTATGTACTCCAACTGACTGAGATGGATCATGTAACTGTCTTATCTTTGATGCACGGTACTCTATGTAGAACCAAAGGCTCATGTGGTGTATTTAAATATCCGCATGTCAGATACAAACAGAGTATCAGTTTCTCCTTTTTATTGTTCATTTCTAATGAACACATCCAAAAGTGTGATCTTAGAACATCTGCTATTCAGATTTGTGAAATACCACCCTGTGACTTCCCTCCTATGTTGCATTTTCATTTTGGAGATGTCAGAGAGTATTGAGAAATGGACTTTATTGCGACACAGAGACAGTGTACGGCATGTGTCAAAATACCCATGCTTATCTTGTTGGTAACCCACTTCAGTATTTCTCTGTCATAGTAAAGTAAAAGGGCACTTCCGCATTCAAACTCATGAGAACAGAAAAGAGCGAAACAATCTCAGCTACAGTTTCTTGCAGAGAATCTATAGCTGCCTGCTGCTTCATCTAAAGGAAAAAGGAACTCATGTTGTGGTTTCTCACACTTCTCTCAAACCGTGGATAAAAGATGATGCCCAGTGTGTTTCTTTTGTGTGTATGGGTGTGTGTGTGTGTGTGTGTGTGTGTGTGTGTGTGTGTGAGTATGTTGTAGGAGGGACTAAGAGCAGTTGTGAAGTGATGAGTGTCAGTAGTCAGAGGTGAAGCAGTGTGAGAAGATGAAGCTCATACTGAGCAGCCTGCTGCTGGCCTCACTCTGTGCCATCTCATCTTGGAGTAAGTAGAAACTCAACTTAACCTTAAATATCACATCTGTGTCTGGTTAGAATTTGTGCTATATATGTCAAAACTGTGACCAAAACTCCTAATTATTGAAATTATTGGTAGTGTCAGAGATTATCGTTGTAGGTGTACGTTGTTCACACAGATAACACATGAATGTTTGTAGAGTGCGTGGATATACAGTATCTTGTTCATAATGATTTAAGTACATGCTAACATTAGCATTTGGAATATTTTATTATTTTACATTTCAGAGCATTAGTTTCACTGTAAAAGAAACAGAAGTTTAAAAAAAAATGACCATTATTTCTTTATTATTCTATTTTTTTGTTAAATCACTATGAAGCATTTTATGTCTATGTAGCACGTATCCTCTGATTTTGTTGTAAAATGCCAAAAACCTGATGTGTTTAGCTAATGATGCAGTGTACGCAGTCTCAATATGGACCTCAAAATCATTTGTTTCTCTGTCTCTTTAGCTGCTTCATCTACAGGCGTGTTAGTTGTGACCCAGACTCCTGATGTTTCTGTCCTGGAGGGAGAGACTGTAAACATCACCTGCTGCTGGAAAGGGACGTTTGAAAGAATGACATTTAACTGGGGGAGAAATCAAACAATTATTAAGACTGACCAATACAACTCAACACCACAGTCTGAAGAATCAAATTCCTGTTCAACTTTGACCTTTTCTAACATCACAACAAAGTATTCAGGGAAATACACCTGCAAACTGAGTGTGGAGATACCAGTTTATGTTCAGGGTGAAGGAAAGGGCACAGTCATCACAGTTAAGACCAGAGAGAACAGAGGAGATGACACAGATGATGGTAGGTGACAAAACACCAAGGCTTTAAAGGTTTGACTAATATCCTGGTTTGCCAGTGGATAAAGTGAATAATGACATGTATTCAAAACTGAAGAGAGACTTTATATCACTTTGTAAATCTTAGATCAGTCAAATCTTGCTTGTTTATTAATATAATCTACTATTGCAAGATTAAAAAAAAAAATGTGTTTCCTCATCTTGCAACTTTTGTGATATCACATGCCAATAATATTTTATAAAAAAAGACAAACAAAAAAACTTCACTTACAGTCCCGTAATTATTATTGTAATGTCTGTGTTTTTTTCTCACAACACCCAGGCCAAGACCCACATAAATCCATACCATTCTCCATCATAATTGCTGTGGCTGTAGTGGTTCCATTGCTCCTCATCACTCTCATCTATTTCTGTTCTCTGCGAAGGAGACAAGGTACAAATAAAAAAATTCAGTCTTGTTACTCATCAGAAGCTCAATTGATGTAATGTCCTGTAAGATTAAATAACGGGTCCATCCAATTTTACAAATTTCTAACCTATAGTGGTATCTAGCCATGCAGGTAGTTTACGCACAATTTCCCTGAGTCATCTGTCTCCACCCAACATCAAAAGTTTTCATAGGAATGATTTCTTCAGTAGAAAGTAGTTGTAAAGTCTGTGAATTATTGAAAATAACTGGTACATTGTTTCTTAAGAGATGCTGCTCTTGATTTAGAAATGTAATTTATGTAATTAATTTAATGTATTTTTTCAATGAACTTCTCAAACAAAATTTCCTTCATTTTCCGATTTACTGGGATACCAGAAATGCCAAAGATAGACATCTCAAAAGCTGGGAAAATAAAACCTAAAAATATCACAATTCAGTAAATTACAGATATGGCAGTGTGAACTGAATTAATTGGCTTTTTAGCGGGTTTAACCGCTTTTCAAAAACCCACTTATACATGCTATTTTTGGTGTAAACAGTGTAAACATAATTCAAACTCTAACATCAATAATCCACTTTTTGCACCAAAATTAGCACATATAAGTGGGGTTTTAAATGTAAACATGCTATTTAAAAAGGCAACTTTGCAGATGAGTTTGCCTTTCTGTTTGGACTGGGAGGACACTATGTAGACGCTTTGAGCGGTGATTGTGTGTTTTTCAAACTTATTTCAGAGCTCACTCTCAGTGGAAGGTCTACTCGTGGCCATTCTGGTTTAATAGCACTGTGCTGGGCAGGTGACAGGTCTGTCTACAGTGTTTGTGTGCTTTGAAGGATGTCACAGCAGGGAAAGGGGCAGAAACTTAACATGTTCACATCACAGCTGATGGCAGCTGGACCCGATAAATCAAAATTCAATCAATCAAAATTGATTATTAGATCTTGATAAAGGTAGAATATTATTATTGCTGAGCCGTTGTATTGGATTGTCTTTTGCAGTGTACCTAATAAAGACACCAATGAGAGTACTTCTAAAATAAAAACAAGGTTGGTAGTAGTAGATGGATATTGCAGATGAGAAATTCTATAAATTTAGATTGAGACACAGATTTGCACAGAGAGTCCTTGATTTACTTTAGAGCTTAGAGAAAGGTGACTCGAAGGTTGGTTGCTTCAACTCTTAGTGAAAAACAGAAATTACAAGTAGCAAAAACAAACAGCTATAAAAGAAAGCTATAAAAGAAGAGAACATTGAGACGACACTGTATACTGGATGAAATCATAAATATCAGTGTGCTGTAGTAATTTTAATGGCATGTATACGCAGCCATGTTTTTCAGTTGTCTGTCTCATGCGCATCTGATGGAAAAGATGAAACAACCCTGAAAAAGCTGTGCATGTGCCACAGTGTCCTAGTATCTATTGGAGTCCTACTGCTAGCATGTTAGATGTTTACATGCGCAACACATAACCAGCTCAGGTTTAAAAAAAAGACATTTTTATGTGTAGTATGTCAATACACCTAATTTCCGCAAGCACAATTCTAGGGCATCTTTATGTAGGTATAGTTTTTAACACTGGATATGACTTGGGCTCAGTGTGAAATGTATGGGACCAAGAATTGAAGCCTGTGGTACACCACGGGCCACTGAGAATAATGAGGAATTGGTTGGTGCAACAGGGTTAGCACTACAGGATGTATATGATATAAGGCTACTTGGTGCGACTTAGAAAGGGTGCATTGGACTGTACCAGGAAACCACTGCCACCCTTGGTTTCCTGGTACAGTCCAATGCAGTAGTGACTGCAATGTCCATCCAATTTAAAACAAAGCTTAAACGTACCACTTCTGTATATTTTCATAATATCTTATGGAAGAGTCCTGCTAATCATTTCTGTGTGTGTGTGTGTGTGTGTGTGTGTGTGTGTGTGTGTGTGTGTGTGTGTGTGTGTGTGTGGCCCATGGGTTCAGCACAAGCAGCCAGGGTGATCTATGAGGTTCCCCACGTTGACTCTGAGGTGGCAGAGATGGACAAAGACAGCACCAGCTCCTCCAGAGGCTCTTCTCAGTGGGTGAGTCTAATGGTGACGAGGGAGAGGAGGGGGAGGCAAAACAGGGTGTTTGTTCCACGTTTTAGTGATAGCATTGTGCTTCTTTAACCCATTCAAATTCATTTATATATTATTTGTCTTATTCTTTAAATGGCGTTTAGCAGACCTATTAAAAATGTCCATATGTGTTTCAGCTGAGATGTGAGAAAATGCGGATGACATGTGGTGAATGGTGTGAACTTTGCTCCTATAGATCTACTCTCTGAGGCTGCACCAAAACCAAATTAGATTTATTTTAGATTTATTTAGATATATAATGAAATTAAATTATTTAACATATATATATATATATATATTGTTTATACTTATTGTATTATAGTGACTGAATAAAAAACTAACTGACTATTTAGAGTAACATTTTTTTTGTAGGAGCAGTATAATGCAAAGCCGTACAACAATCCCACAAATAACAGGCTTAATACACTGTGATAGGATTTAATCGGGACTGTTATACTGGATTGACTGATATCCTGTCTCTGACTAACTGTGCCTGTTGATCACGCCTGCTCAGTTTTATGTTATGCACCTTAGCAAAGGTCTTGACCTTTGAGCACCACAAACCCTCAAGCTTATCTGACAAATGTTTATATACTGCTATACTCTACTGATGCAGTATGTGAGTTTTTTTATTTTTCTGTCTCTTTCAGTGTCAGGTACCTGTGTATGAATCCTTCGATTACTTTGAACGCGTGCAGACCAAAGAAAGTGGATGAGGATCTGCTCAGTGGACTTTCTTCATCCTCTGGTATTTTGTGCCCTTAACTTTTCTGCATGTACAGCGGGGTCCAAAAGTCTGAAACCACTTTCCCAGATTGGAATTATGTGAAAGATTTTATATCAGTAAAAATATTTAATATTTTTCTATGAACTAAGTCTTATTCATCTTCATGGTCTCAGTTCATCTCAATATCTGGCTTACTTGTAGCAGACTAAAAGGAGAAAAGTAGTTGCTTCTGTTTTGACTTGATCATACTATAAGCTAGTCAGTGGTCCACATTAGTGAGTGGTATTGATTCTATAGCGAACATGTCGGTTTCACAATGACTTCAGATCATGATAAGGACACTGAGTGGAAACTGTGGTGTTATGGGGTTGCTCTGTAATAGGTCATTGACAGGAAGTGGAAACGGTGCCTGTGACGGTCGAAATGGTTTCTCCCCGGCCTTGTTCTGTTTATATTCATCACACAAAGGCACAAGAAACTGATACAGAACATCTGCAGTCATAAACATGTGATCTACATTTGAGGTTGTGTGTTTCCTTTTCTAAAATGTCCAGAGACCATGTTGGTAGAGGACTGTAGCATTACTGAAGACAGAATTACACTCAGTGTTAGCCAGAAGTTGCTAGCCATCAAAACATGCTTAGAAAATGCACACATGCTCATTGTAGGCCTATACATAAAAACAAAGAGAGCTCATTCATTTTTTTTTGTACTCAAACTCAAAGAATATGTACAGTCTGAGGTTAAGCTTTTGATCTCTGTCTAAACTAAATAGCTGTGTGCGCTCAAGATGCTAATGCATTAGCATGCTGTTTGTGAAGTAACTGTACTCAACTAGCATCCTTAAGCACTGAAAATGTGAAGCTGTAGCTGCTCTAAGATAGTTAGTTACCAACGATCAGACATGTAGGTTATACTGGATAGATTTGAAATTAGCCCAACTGGTGACTGAGCACTTCATATCATAAACTGTAAGGGGTAAGTTTCTGTTTTTTTAATTTATTTATTTTGTTCCTCCAGCTGCTCAGAAAGATAAAAATATTAGTCTGTGGAAAACCAGTGCTTAAGTTGAACATTTCCACTGACTTTGCTTTCTGTTCTCTTCAGTAGCTAGTAGGGTAGGCAGTGGCTGGTGTAGTCTATGCAAACATTGGCTTTAAATGTTAGTTTTGAACCCACGCAAACATTTTATTATTACAGGGAGTCAGTTGACCTTAAGGTTTGCATAATGTGACCAAATCATGGAGTAACATACAGAGTGCTGAGTTCACAAATGGAGCTATTAAAGACTTTCAACATGATATCTTTCTTCTGCCAACTTTAAGTGTGACTTTAGTTTGTTTTCAGTGATACTAATTGTCTTACCTACAGTTCTTTAATGTATTGTATGCTAAATTGCTAGCATGTAATATGCAAAAACAAATATTCCCAATTATAGTGGGGAATGTTAATTTTTGCATGTCAGTTTCTCCGAAACAAAAATATAAAATTGATGATAATGTGATTTTTGCTGGGGGCTGTACCAAACAAGCATATATTCCCTTACATCTTGATAATGTGATTTGTAGGCTGGGGCATTTCTATAGCACCACAATGCTGTATTTATGGTCTATTGTGACACATTTTACCTTTATCAAAAAGTTACACCTTCTGTGATTTGAATACTGCACTTGGCGGCATTGCGATTTTTGAGAATATTTCAATTGATTGTTCAGCCCTAATGTACACTGGATGGTACTATAACCTACAACACAGATGATTTTGGTGTCACACTTATTCAGCTTTATTTATTTGTGTTTATGACAAAGTCATAATGTGAAAGCAATGATTAATAAGTTGATAAATACTGGTCTGATTGATGCCTATTGATTGCCAAGACCTTTCTCAATACAGAGACACTCGTCCCAGTGAGTCAGTCAGTTTCATTTTGATAAAGAATGGGGGAGGTTACAAAGAGACGCTCCTTTACACACGTTACTTTATACTTCCGCGTACCTGCATGCCTTCCCATATGACTTGCAAAAGGTGTTAACCACCATTTGCTGTGACTGAAGCTTTCTCACACTTTCGCCATTTTTGTTTTGTTTGCAAAGATGCACTCTGTACATACTAATTCGCCACCTCAGTGGGATATAAATGATACTGTAAATAATGCTATAATGTGCCTGTAATATTTCATTCAAACTGATATGTCATTGAGGCCAGCTTCTTAAATGCATCCTGCAGTAATAAACTGTATACCAAATATTGGGCTTCATATAATGTGTCTTTCTCATTGTGTTTGACGTACTCTGTCGCAGCCAGACTAGTGCTGCAGCTGAGATATTGGTTGTGTGACCAGATAAAAGCTTGTAGACGATACACAGTATTTCATATGTACAGTTTACTGTAAGAGCACTGTTTCTAGGAAACCAGGATACCAGAGAGAACAGAAAGCAGACAAACACACTCATGTACTTTTACACAACTCAAGCTTTTCAATTTCAAGTTTCCTCTCGTGGTTCATGTCCACCCCTACGCAGCAGCACAGACAACCACTCGACCACAGTGGATGCAATGACAGTGGTGTTTCAAAATTATCAAGTGATGATTCCCAAAGTGACAACCAACACACACTTTATACCTTGTATAATAGAATAATTATGATTTACTTTGCCTCAAATGAACCATATCACAGAGAAAAGCGCCTTTGTTGTCTGTTTAATGGAAATCCCTCCCTTTAAATCAATAAATAAATGACTAAATCTCTGTATGGTTGGTGAGGTAATGTGCACATTGGGCGGAGTAGGACTGAGGTAAAGTTGAAGCCACCACCTTCATCAAACACTTAAACCAGTATTATCTAACCTTTTGTGCACTGGCACCAAACCCATTTTTCAAAAGGTATAAGAAAGAGTCGCCTCTCTCCTCTCCCACCCCTGACACATCGACTGCTCTGTTAACCAGCGTTGTCCTTCGACTGTCCTCTGTACTTTTACGAACCACCTCTCAAGAAGCAACCATGACCCAGCTAGAGACAGCCATGGCCATCATGATGAAGACCTTCGATACTTACGCTGCTGATCAGGGAAAACCAGACACCCTCACCAAAGCTGAGGCCAAGACTTTGCTGGAGAAGGAGCTTCCTGGACTGCTCAAGGTACCGTACACCTGTGGGGGAGGATATCTGTGGTTCAGGGTAGTGACAGCACTGAGACCTACCTAATGAAGCTCAGGCACATACGCTCACAGTTCAAATATTTATTGAAAATATGCATTGACTTGTGGTCTCAGGAAAGTAGGAAAGTGAATAAACACCAAAGAATAAAGAATCATGTTTAAAATATACTTTGACACATCATAGTACCAATCTTCCTGTTTGAACTAATGGTAAAAGATGTTTTTATTTTCAGGTTTTTACGCCAACTTTTATTTCCTTCCTGGCCTAGAAATTTTTGAACAAGCCATGTCACTTAAAGATGATGGCTTCTACAGCTTTGTATCTTTGGATTTATTGTTAACGCAGACACTTTTTGAAGAGTAAATCTCATTGTTACATTCTGCCGCAGCAATACGTTTCAACTTAATGCCATTTCTCTGACCTAAGATCTATCTCGTACTTTATAAATAGAACACTCGTGATACTAAAATTTGGCTGTGAAAAGAGTTTGATGAGGAGAGAGGAGGGACATGTTAAAAAAAAACATTTTGATCTAGTGTCATCTGGCAACACTGATGGTGTTTTGTTGCTCTGTACAGGGAGCGAAGAACCAAGCTGAGGTGGACAAGCTGCTGAATAGTCTGGATTTTAATGGAGACTCCGATATCGACTTCAGCGAATTTGTGGTGATGGTAGCTGCTCTGACCTGCGCCTGCCACAACCGATGTCCCAAGAAGTGAGCAAGTCCACCGCACCCTTGGGTGGGGCCAAATGGCGGCAACTGCATCAGAAAATCTGTACTGTAGTTATTATTTTATTTTTTTTAGCAGCTGAATAAAGTCAATTATCTACCTGTACATGGTTGTCGAGTGTTATTTGACTATAGACAGAAACTTTCTATATTAATACGACAAGACAAGACAAGACAATGCTTTGTTAATCCCACAGCGGGGAGATTTGCAGAGTTAGTGGCAGAGGGGAAAGTGCAGGAACACAAGTATCAGTAAAATAAAAATATAAGTAAACAGAGGTAATTAACAAAATCTGATAAATACAAAATAAGTAAATTAAATACAAAAATATGTAAAATAAATATCAAAAGTAAAATAAATACAAAATAAGCAAAATAAATGAGTAAACAGACATAACCGTTTAAGTCACATTATTATATACATATTACATAAGTTAGCTGAGGGAAATAAGGACCTGCAGTATCTCTCCTTCACACACAGCGGGTGCAGCAGCCCGTCAGTGTTGGAGTTGCCCTGTGATGTCAGAGTGTCCTGCATGAGGCGGGACATGCTCTTTATCTGGGATGATAGCTTCACCTTCATTATCCTTTCTCCCACCACCTCCACCGGGTCAAGGGGCCATGCCAGAATTGAACTGGCGGCTGATGCTACCACAGAGTCCAAAAACGTACAATTGCTCCACTTTGGATGACATTTTGAAACACCCTGGATGATGAAATTCTTTCAAAATCCATTGCATGATCACTGAAAAACGTACAGCAAGATTAAATGGTTTTTGTTCCCTAAAATGTGGTTCCTTAAAACATCTGGAAAATTTCTCATAGGTTTTTCCCACCAGTGACAAAATGACGGATATACATATACATATGCAAGGCATGAACATTAACAGCAGCAAGGCAATTCTAAAAGTAAAACATCCAACTTAAAGAATTAAGGTACAAAAGGTACAAATATGAAACAAAATACACAGCAGTTTACTTTTGGATCCTACTATGGCAGCAAAATAACATAAATTCAGGTATTTGTATGGTGGATGAAGCACAAAATGAATGATGATGGGAGATTGTATATAGTAGGAAATTATTTTGAAAGTGTTGCAGCAGGTGGTCAGAGAGTCACACTCAAACAAAGCTTCCTGTCTAACTAGGACAAGGGGACATGCATGTGAGCTAGAGGTACACACAATAACCACAGACTAGGTATGTTGTCGCTTCACAAACAGCATCTTGCAAACACCTTAGTGGTCACATGCAGGGGCATGGGACATTTCTTGTAACTCATGTCACACAGACCAATAGAAGAGGTAACAATAATATCAATTAAAATAATGAAACTAAGAAAACTCAAGACAAAAAAAAAATACATTTGAAAAAAATATATATATACATTTTTACATTTATATATATATATACTTACCTCTTGATGACCTCTTGAGTCCACAGCCACATTCTCCTCCACTATATACAGTATATAGTGTATATATATATATGTAGATGTGAGTAGCAGCCATGTGCTGAGTTATACTATCTGTTACTGTCATTTTGATAATTTTATTTACCTATTATATATATATATATATAATATAGATATAAGATATAGATATATATCTATATATATATTTAATATCCAATTTTGCATAATTGTATTTATTGTATTACCTATTATATATATAAATAGGGTAATATTATATATATAGTATATATATATATATAATATATATATATATATATACTTATACATATATACATATATATATATACTAATATATATATATACTGTCGCCCATAAAGTTGGAATAATTTTGTTTTCAGACACAATCCTCTGTTTATTCCTATTTAAATGCATCAGTAATCACTTTTGACCAGGTGTAATGATTACATTATGTTTCCCAATTACCCAGGTGAAATGAAATAAATCACATTGTCACAATCATTTCATGGAAAAAGGAAAGAAATATTTTATTCCAACTTTATGAGCAACAGTGTGTTTATATATATATATGTATATAGTGTATATAGTCTGTTTTTCAGTGATCATAGGTAAATAAAATTATCTAAATGACAGTAACAGATAGTACTGCTGCTACTCACACCTACAATACTAATAACAAATAAGGGCAAACTTCACATTACATTGCTGTCATTCCTGTCTAAATAAGTATGGCCATCTTGCCTATATACTGACCACCTTACCACCTTATTGGGCAAGGGACATCATCTTACATTTTGACATATGATCCAGGCCGTCCCTCACAAATGTTGAAATCACATCATTGACACTGTCTACTTCTCCCTGGTTAGCCAGTGAATATTGTATTCATGTAGAGGCTCCGTATTTTCCAATATACGTTCAATTTAAACATTAATTGTTCATATCTGGCTGTTTTGTCATTTCTTCCCTTGCAGTGACATTTCTAACGACAAGATCTTTATAAAAAGGAAATGAGGGGATTGTAAACTGAGCCTGAGTGGAGTTGATATCTGACACGCATTGAGTTTACACTGTATGACTCTGAGGTGCCAGACATCACAACGCCAACACACTGATTTAGAGATTCAAAGACACATGGAGGGCAAAACTTTTGGACCAGCTAGTTTGTTAATCCTCCGATCAGAGGCGTCATGCTGCGTCTTAATCCACTTCTGTGATACTTTCTGTCTTTAGGTCAGGTCATCACTCTATCATGATGCACCGGCCAAGTAACACACTTTCTCCAGTCAGGGCAGTTGTGTAATACCTGAACGCCGATGCTGCCCTCTAGTGGCAGATAAACTCTCCTTTTCAAAAAGCAGTATTAAAAAGGTATTGTACTGGTACTGTATTTCTGACCGGCACTTAAACAATGCACAGCAGAGACTCATCACCATCCCTATTGCAAATAATTGCTGCTGCTGTATGCATGACCTCCCTTCTCTATGTGCCTGCAGCTGATTTGACAGTGTGAGTTGATCCTGAGGCCTTACTGTGCCATTGGTGAAACGTGGCTGGCCTGTAATCGGCTTGCGAGGCCATTAAGCTGAGACTCTCCACTCTCCACTCTCCACTCTCCACTTCCTCTCTCACTCTCTCTCTCTCTCTCTCTCCCTGTCTCTCTGTCCGGGGCATTATAAAGGCTTATGGGGGATTATGGGGAGGTGTCCCAAGTGGAGGAGGATGTGGCTGCAGTCGAGAGGTAAAGGTGGTGGGGGGGTGTGTGTGTGTGTGTGTGTGTGTGTGTGTATGTGTGTTCTGCTCTATTTTTTATTTGTCTCATCATATGCTCTTATAGTTTTATTAGCACTTTCTACCATGTCAATAAGCAAGACTTATTCTCTCTGAAGCAGGTCATGGGATATGGTCGAAAGCCCCAGGAAAGTAAATGGATCATGGGTTTAGAGTAGTTACCACAGATCAAGAATGAGTAAACATGCTCAAGCCTTTATAAAGCCTTTGTTAGTAATAGCAAATGTCCTTATTAACTTTTTATAATTTGTTTAATGATGTTTTATAAATCATTTATAAGCTATTAATGAAAAACCTCAGTGCAGAGCACCTACACCAAAATCCATGAACAATTTATTAACATTTCTAATAATGACTTGTGAGAAAGTGAGAGGCCGTTAGCCTTTCTCTCTGACTTTCTGTCATTAACCTAGTGTACATGCTTAACAATCTGGCAGCCCAGACATTAGTCTTATTAATAGGTTGTACGTACGTGTAAGTTCAATCAGGAGAGACTTAATTCTGAGTTAACGAATAAACTTTTATTACCATGTGCAAAACAAGAGAGGAAAGGTGAGAGATGTGAGAGAGTTTGACAGGGACAACGCGATTGGCCGGTTGAGATCGTGGTGGGATCTGATTGGTTACCGAAAACACCTGGAGTCAGCTGATTACAAGAAGTGGGTGAGAGAGAGAATAGTGAATGGAAAAGGCTTAAAGATAGTCTTCCTGATTGAACTAATGTTCACCTTCATTAAAACAAGGCCAAAAAAGATGTTCATTAGTAACTCTGTACTAAATGTACCCGCTACTAAATACCATCTAAAGCCATCAGTCTAACCATCTCTAAAATTTCACGAAGGTAATTTAAAGTTTTAGATATTCAGAAAAAGTTTTTTTTTTCCCAGATATTTATTCAGATAGAAAAATCAAGCATCCAATGTTTTCAGTCACTTAATAAATAGACCCGATAGGACAGAGGTGTGATCAGAAAGGCAGACACTGAGTAGCTGAGTGTATTCATATTCATATAATTTATTTTTAAAAAACGCTTTCATATTATTTCTGTCTAATTTTGGAACAAAGGTCTCCCCACAGGCTACAATCTGAAAAGCGTGTGTCGATGCAGGATATTTGTGGACAGAGGTTTACCCCAACACTCTCTCACACACACACACACACACACACACACACACACACACACACACACTGCTCAGCTCAGCTCAGCTCCATACATGTGAGGAGGTAGAGCAGTTATGAATACCTCATTCTGTTTTAAAGCCACACATCTCAGGTCATATGAGCTGCCAGGGTGTCTAGCTCATCTCGTGGCCTGACTTTCAGCAGTCGAAACAAGCTAAACACACTGCTGCTCTTTGTCTCTAAACTTTAACCGAGTGTGTTTTCCCGTCCTTGTAGCCGTCATGCGGCGTCACTGGGTTTCACCGAGGGACCGCAGTACGTCTGGGACTACTGAAAGGCTACTTGACACATGACTGTCTGACTCCTGGGTTGTTTGATAACTGATTATGTCAACTTTCAACGTGCGATGCCGTAAAATACGACTTCAGCTTGTGAGCGACAGGAAAACCAAAAAGGGAAATACTAAATGCACAAAATAGCTGTTAAAGCTGCTTTAATCGATATTTCTATATTAAAGGACCAGTTCACTCACCCCTATCTTTCCAAGCATGTATGGGAATCTGCAGAGTCCTCAGGGGGGGAAAGTTCTTCAACATGGTTTGGCTGTTCAAAGCAAGCTTGTGGAGAGGAAGGTTTGATTCTCCTGTGTTTGCCGGATTGCTTTATGGTCGGTGGGTACAGATATCGAGCCGTAGAGCGCCACAGCGGATGAAGGGCTGTTACCTTCTCTTTCCGGAAGTGGAGAAGGATCTC